TGATGAGGAAAGATTTGAAGTAGGTGAGTGCAGAGCCATAAGAACATCTAAAGCAAGGGGAAACAGCCCAGGCACAGGGGCTGGCAAGAGGCCGGAGTTCTAGGGCACAGCAAGGGAAGCCTATTCAGCCAGAGTGGAGTGAGCGAGGGAGAGCTTGGTTCAGTGGGGAGTCAGGGTGCACACAGTCAGATCCTGGGGCCTTTCTGGCCTTTGTAGGAACTTTGGCTTCTAACCTGAACTGGGAAGTTTTTACAGGATTTTAAGCAGAATAAAAACTTGACCTGACTACATTTTAATAGCAGTGATTCAGTAAGAAGAGGATGGTGGCTTGGAATAGGTCATAATGGTGGAAGTGGTGTGACATATTGAATTCTGCATATATTTTGAAGGTAGAGCAAATTGGATTTTCTGGTTACATGAAAGAAAGAGGAGTCAGAGAGGACTCTGAGGGATTTTGGCCTGAGCAACTGGAAAATAACTTTGCCATAAGCTGATATATGGGGCAAGAATTTGAGTATAGCATTTTAGGGGTAGATCAGAAATTAATTTTTAGTTGCTTTAATTGACATGTCTTTTAGACCACCAGATGGAGATGTTAAGTAGGCAGTTAGCTATCTGAGTCTGAAGTTAGTGGAGGAGGTCCTGGCTAGGATTTACATTTAGGAACTTGGGAACATATTAATAGTATTTAAAACCATGAGATTAGAATGAATGTAGATAGATAAGGGAAGAAATCCAAGGACTGTGCTTTGAGGCACTTCAGGATGCCCAGGAGATGAGGGAGAACAAACAAAGAAGGCTGACAGGGAGTGACCGGGGGCAGAAGGAGAAAGGGTGGAGTGTGGGGCCCTGGAATGCGAGTGAAGGGTTTCACAGAGATGTGCGTGGTCCAGTGTGGCAAGTGCTGCCGCTAAAGGAAGAACTGAGGATTGACCACTGAATGATCATGATTGGAGCAGGTGAAGAGAAAATGGGAGGAAAATAATTGTAAGAGCAAGTATAAACAATCTTGAGGAATTTCGCTGTTAAAAGGAACAGAAATGGGGAGGAAGCTGGAAGAGGAAAGAGTCCACAGTAGATTTTTCTTAAAGATGAGAGATAGTTGAGAATGATTCAGTGGAAAGATTTTGATGAAGAGGGTGAAAATTATTGAAAAGTTATGTTCACACAGGTGAGAAAGAGTGGGATCTGGTGAAGTGTGGCCGTAGGATCATGGACCATTTATTAATATGATGTTCTGGGAGAGGGCTCAGATTATGGACCTGTGTTGATAGCAGCTTAGGTGTGAGGTGGTCGGCACTAGTGGAGGTTTTCTGATTGCATCAGTTTGCTCAGTGAAACAGGAGGTAAGATCATTGGCTGAGAGTCAGGATGGGAAGGAAGCTCTTGAAGGTTGAAGGGGGATTTATAAAACAGTTGTGCAGAAGAAGGGGAAATGAATGGACCGATATGGGAGCATGTAAGTTTCTGATAGTAACTCAGATGGTATCCTCTCTCTGATTTTTTTTTTGCCTCATTTATTGTTCCCCCAATAGCTGAGGTCCAGCATAATACCAGCATGCAGTAGATGCTCAATAAATGTGTAAGTTAATTTCAGAATTGAAATTCTATCTACCTATATCTCATTTATAGCTAACCCTGTGTGGCACTCACTGTAGCTGACCCTACTGCACTTAATATTCTAACAGCCTTACCTGTTTATTATACTTAACTCATAACAGCTATGTGTATTGCACTAAAAGCCACAAGACAGGACGAGATCACCAAGGGTGTGAGAAGTAGGTATTACTATCCTCTGATTTCAAGTGATGAGGCAGATTTCAAAAAAAGTCCCACTATTTGCCCGAGGTTGCTCAGGGCACAGTGCAGAGATGTGACTCTCAGCCTGTGTGACTCTCAAGCCCAAGCCAGTAATCACTGTCCCAAGTTCATCTTGTCTACTCTCATCTTCACCATCAGAGAGCTATGGCCCACTTTGCTTGTCACACATTTCAAAGCTGAGCTTGGAACCAAGCCTTCTCCCAATTCAGTGCTCTTCCCACCACTATCCCCTGAGATCCGTCATATATTGGGATCTACCCATAGTCTACTTCCCTTTAACACCCGTTAGCTACCCATGATAGTAGCTGTAGTGCCCAGTCCGTAGAGACAAAGCAACTGTCACGTGATGAGGGGATCTTGCCTGCATTGACACAGCCATCCAGGAGAGGGCAGTCATGTGTGCCTAAGCACGTCTGCCCCACCCACAGGCTCTGCAACCGCAGGCTCGGAACTGCATCCAACTTGTTTCCCTGCTTTACCCCTGAAGCCAGAGCGCCCCTGAACGTTTGTCTAAAGCAGTGGTTCTCAAGTGCCCCCTACCAGGTGACTTTTTGCCCCTGATGTGGCATTTGGCAATGTGTGGACACATTTTTGGGTTGTCGTGGCTGCGGGAGGGGAGGCAGAGTGTCCTGGCATCTGTGTAGAGAGGAGAGGCATGTTGCTAACGCCCTTCAGTGCGCAGGACAGTCCCAGCCCCAGCGAAGATCTGATCCACAACGTCGGTGACAAACCCTGCCCTAAAGGAAAAGTCCTAAACAGCCCCAGGAACAAATAGAAGATGGCTTTGATAAGGACGTTCAGAAACAATAGTGATCACTTAAAAATAACTTGCGGGTTCAGCTTCTTTGGGGAATGCCAAATGCCATTCTTTGGGGGAATGCCAAATAATGTCTAAGCGGATCTTGACTCATCACTTCAGCTGCTCCCACCGCTGACTGTGCCAGGTTGGGAGGTGTGTGCATATGTGCCCTTGACAGCACAGGGCAGCTGAGAGTCTGGCCCCCATTAGTGTCCAGGTCCTGTAGGACATACTTACCTTTGTCTGTCTGAAGAAATCATCCTTCCTGTTCTGTGGAAATGTTCTCTGCCCTCAGACTATTCGTGATATTGTAAACCTAGTTTTGCAAAAGCATAATCTGTCGCTGATACTGCTGGGCCTTGTAGGAGGAGCAGGTACTTCTTCCCTGGCTCAGAGCACTTCTGAAATTCCAGAGTGGTTCTCAAAGTCCCCTGACCTCATCTACCTAACAGGCACTCTGCTTGGGAGGGGCCACCTCCTCTGGAATTGGGAATGTTTCCTGAAGTGTGCCCTGAATCACCCCATTTTAGAAAAGCATAGGCATTTATCCATGCCTTACCCAAAACAGAGATTGCCTCCAAGCCAAAGTGAGCCCAGCATTCATAAAATATTAACCTCTCTGTATATCAAGCTGCTCCACTGTTTCTTACAATGTAACTCTTGTTCAGCAGAACATAGAGCTTGGGAATTAAGATCAGCCTTAGTCAGTGGAATCAGTTTTTGATCTACAGCATGGATGTCCTCCCCTTTCCTTCACACAGACCCTACTATGAATTTCTAAGGACTCCTGAATGATGAACCTAAAGTCAATTTATAGCTATGACAGGAAATATGAAACAATCTCTAAATGTTCTTCAAGCTATAGCTTTCACCAAAGACCAGAGCACGCATCTTCTTCCCAGTAGTAGTTGTTTTAAAATCCACAGTGGGAAAAGATCTGGAAATCAAATGCAGCCATGAAGCTGGGATTTGGATTTACCAGTGAATTTACCAGTGGATTTACCAGCAGAGTAAATTTGGGTTTACCAGTGGATTTACCAGCAGAGCTAATTAAAGGACTTCTTTAGAGGAGAGAAAAGAAAGCAGGGTATAGCCACGTGAATGGCAAAAAGTTGTTAAGGCAACCTTGCTGGCCTCAGTTGAATGTAGCACTGTGCTCCTGAAATTTAATGATAGTAATAAACCATGATCACTTATGGTGCGATCTGTCTATGGTCTGGACACAATGCAAGTGTTTTCCAAGTAATCTCACTCCATGCTCAGAATACCACCAGGAAACAGGTATTCTAGATAAGGAATCCAAAACTCCTCCAGCTATTCCAGATAAGGAATCTAAAAGTCCTCTAGCTATTCCAGATAAGGTATCTAAAACTCCAGGAAGCCAAATAACTTGTCCAGGGTTACCCACAAAGGGGTCAAGCTGGGATCTGAACCTGGGAAGGTTAACACTGAGGCCCAGTAGAGGTTTTAAATGTGCTAAGAGTTTGCTCTTGAAATGAAATCTGAAATAGATCCCTTTTGAGATAACAAAGACCCTTGTCTCTTTTACAAAGTTTAAGTTTTTGGTGAAGTAAGATTCTATAACGTGATACTAATAGCTTTGTGTGGTTTCATCAATGTGCCGAGTTGGGTTTGCATCACAAAGTCGTGTGGTAGGGAAATCTACAGATTTTTAGAGTCCCATGTGTTCAGGTTTATATTCTCCTTCTACTAATTCTGAGCTCTGAGACTTTACAAAAGTTACTTGCCTCTTCTTCTTCTTCTTTTTTTTTTTTTTTTTTTTTCTGGAGAGTGGAGTCTTCCCCTGTCACCCACGCTGGAGTGCAGTGGCGTGATCTTGGCTCACTGCAACCCCAGCCTTCCAGGTTCAGGTGATTCTCCTGCCTCAGCCTTCCGAGTAGCTGAACTTACAGGTGCCTGCCACCACATTCGGCTAATTTTTGTTTTCTTAGTAGAGGCGGACTTTCACCATGTTGATCAGGCTGGTCTTGAACCCCTGACCTCAGGTGATCCGCCCACCTCAGCCTCCCAACGTGCTGGGATTATAGGCATGAGCCACCATACCCAGCCTCCTTGCCTCTTTTAAACCTCAGTTTTCACATCCACGAAGTGGGATGAGTATTATAGTATATGTCAGGTGTCTTGGAAATTGCCCACCAATGGTCACTGTCATTATCACCGTTGGTATTATTTACAAGTTAAATGTGTGGTTTTGATTTTGATCTTTTGCTCTGTATATTTTAAATTATGGTAGGTACTTGACTTTGGCATTTGTTTTATGTAATGCCAAAGGCCAAGCCTAAAGAAACGTGGCTTGTTGAACCATGGTTCATGCTTAGGACAACATTGGTATAAAGCATGTTTGTGTTTGAAACTTTAGGAGCTGCCCAGGTTATGGAAGGCGGCCAAGTGGAATATAAGCCCCTTTCGGGCATTCGGTATATGTGGTCCTACCATTTAATTGGCCTCATCTGGACTAGTGAATTCATCCTTGCGTGCCAGCAAATGACTATAGCAGGGGCAGTGGTTACTTGCTATTTCAACAGGTAGGTCCAGTGGTTTTTTTTCTATTGATTTGTCTGTGTGGTTTATCTATGTGCTTCATGTTGATATCTCAAAAGATATTTGGGAATGCTGACCTAGCCCCTTAAAAGGAGTTGGCAAGAATAAAAGACTAAGCTAAAAATTGAGCTGTATGCTCATTTGGTGGTGGGAAGAAATATTATACCCTGAATCTGTCACATTTCCAACTTTTTTACTTTAAGCCAGAAAATTTAGAAACAAGCCAAACAGGGAAGAGATCATATTGCTTAGACTTGAAAGATAAAAAGGGGTCTCACTCTGTCATCCAGGCTGGAGTGCAGTGGCGCGGTCTTGGCTCACTGCAAGCTCCACTTCCCGGGTTCAAGCGATTCTCCTGCCTCAGTCTCCCAAGTAGCTGGGACTACAGGCGCCTGCCACCACGCCTGGCTAATTTTTGTATTTTTAGTAGAGACGGGGTTTCACCATGTTGGCCAGGATGGTCTCGATCTCTTGACCTCGTGATCCACCTGCCTCGGACTCTCAAAGTGCTGGGATTACAGGTGTGAGCCACTGCACCCGGCTGCCATTGTTTTAATATTAAAAAAAGGGAGAGTCGAACTCCCCTATGAATATCCATCCTAATTGACTTCAGACAGAAAAATTACTGGTCTATTTTGAATATACTTCAGTAAATTCTGTGAGCCTCACTTTGTCCTCTGCAAAATCAGATAACGTTTGCTTGGGGAAAAAAAATTAATCCTAAAGGAATTGTATGTAATTACAAAATGTAATTTATATTATAGTTAGGAACCAGTGAATTAGTTACACGCTTCTCTGCTTATATTCCTATCACATCCTGAAAGAAATTGAGGACACACGCAAACACACACACCCCTGAATGCTTTACCTCTTCTGTGTGTGTGACTCACCTCGGGGCAGTGAGAGCCCACAGGACAGAGGAACTCAGCCAGAGCAATGGCAGGACTGGGCTCAGAAACAGAAGTTTACTCTTCATAGGGCTGATCCTCCTCCAGCCTCTCAGACCAAATGATAGAGAAACATGAGCTTCCTGGGGAGAGAGTCCGCCAGGGGTGATTCCTGCCATTGAGCAGTTTCTTCCTGATGATAAGGAGCACTGCGGGGTGTTTGTTTGTTTGTTTGCTTGCTTGTTTGTTGAGACGAGTCTCGCTCTGTCACCCAGGCTGGAGTGCAGTGGCACGATCTTGGCTCACTGCAAGCTCCACCTCCTGGGTTCAAGTGATTCTCCTGCCTCAGCCTCCTGAGTAGCTGAGACTTCAGGCGCCCACCACCACGCCTGGCTAATTTTTGTGTTTTTAGTAGAGACAGGGTTTCACCATGTTGGCCAGGATGGTCTCGATCTCTTGACCTTGTGATCCACCCACCTCGGCCTCCCAAAGTGCTGGGATTACAGGCGTGAGCCGCTGCGCCGGCCAGCACTGTGGGTTTTTAATGTAGCGCTGCAGTTCCGGAGCCTCCATCATTAGAGACTCCAGAGGACTCACAGAGGGGCTGTTGCCCTTGGCACTGAGAACCTCCAAGCAACCGGAGGTGGGTTGTGTGTATTGCTTCCTCCCAGGGAGGGGGGCAAAGAGAGTATTCTAACCAAATTTGCCATAGGTAATATTTGCCTAACAGTAATTTTGTGTTATCTTAGAATAACAAACCAAAGCATTTTCAATGAGGACTTCTAATTTGGACTTCCAGTGAAGTATATGTGTTTATCTCCTAATCTCTTCCCTTTCTCCGGCCACTCAAAAAATCATGAAAGATTGAAACAGGCACAAACACACCAGGACAGTGAGAAACAGAGAGGCAATGACAGCAGATAAGAAACACCAACCAAATGGTGGGAGCCAAAGAGAGGGAGGTGGAGCGGTGCCCCAAGCCCGCTGGAGAAAGCAGAAGCAGCCTGTCCATGTGTGTTGGCTGCATGAGGAGGTACAAATAAGATGCACCCTGAAGTGAGCCCCAGAGTCCCAGAGAGGCTCAGGAGTTCAAGTATAAAAAGTGTTTCCGAAGATGAGCTGAAAGCCTTCCTAAGGAGTAGTTAGACCCCCAAATTCCACACCAGCTGAAGACAGGGAAGTTTATTCTCCAGAGAGAGAAAGCAGAGAGGACCAGACTTGGGGTTTCAGGTTTAGCTGAGGCTGGGGGCAAGTCTCTGTACTGAAAGCAGGGTGAGTAAGTGAAAGCCTAAACTCTGAAGTGAGGCCCCCCACACACACACACCAGCACCCCCCATTCCACAGTTCAGCTCCCAGAACATTGGCAGCTCGTTTGATATTCCCTAGGAAGAGGTTAGAGGATGCTTTTATGGAGAAACTGCCTAACCCAAAGTAAAGACCTACAGATAGTGCCATATGGGGCCCCCCAATGAAATGGATTCCCTGACTCCTAGCAAAACAGTGAAGTTCATCAGACAACAAGCAACATTCCTCACACAGAGCTTCCAGGTCATTCTGGAGAGCCTCACTCTTCAATTTGAACTGTTTACCAGTGCTTATTAAACATGATGAATGCCTCTAAGTGAAAGAAGAAGATCAAAATGTACAAATAAAATGAGCTTAGAGAAAACACAGACAATGCAGGCTGCAAAATGAAATGACAAAACAAACTATAATATTATCGGAGAGAACAAAGATATATTGCCAGAATCCCCTCCCACCAACAGAAGAAGGGCATAGTGAGAAAACAAGACCCTTGAGTAATTAAAAGTATGATTACAAAAGTGAACATTTTCTGTTGAAGGATTAAAATATAAAGTGGAAGCACTCTTTCAGAAGGTAGAATGAAAAGACAAAGAGAAACAAAATAAGAGAGAAAGGATTAAAAGAGGATAAATTTGGGAGACCCACTAGCTGACTAACATGAGTTCCAGAAATACAGAACAAAGAAAAGAAGAGAGGGAATTGACAAAGAAAATTTCCCAGGGCTGGAGGACACAAGTAAAGAGAAGATCCCAGAAGCTTCCCGAGGGAAAAAAGATCACAGGCAAAGGATCGAGGACCCAGAGTAGGATCTGACTTTCAACAGCAACTCTGAACCAGAAAAACAATGGAGGAAGGCTATAGGAGTCTAGTGAAAGATTATTTCCAACCTAGAATTGTATAGCCAGTCTATACCTAGTTTAGCGTTCTATGCCTATTCCTACTACCCGTCAAGGGTAAAGAAGAATAAAGTCATGCACAGGCAGTCCCAAGACTTCCCTGCCCACATCCTTTCTAGGAGGGATGTTCCCCGCTGAAACTAATGTTTAAGCCAGAGAGGAAAACATGAGTTTCAGAAAACAGGCTTGAGCAGAGCAGAGCAGAGCAAGGAATTCCCAGGAGGGTAGCTGTGCAGCAGGCGTGGAAAGCATCCAGTCCAAGGTAGACAATGGACTCCAGGAGAGATGTCACTGTGAAAAGAAAATGGAACTGAGGGAATACCAGGTGTATTCAAACATGTTAAGAAAAGCATTACACATTGGTGAAGCATTCGGTGAGGCCCATGGAAATCCAAGCTAATAAAAAAATGTGAAACAATTAACTTCAGAAAAAAAGAAGTTGTACAGGAAGGGAATCTAATTGGAATATGCTACTTGGATCAGTTGTGAATATTATTTACAGCACATATTATCTATGTATGAATAACAAACACTAAGCATTAACTAAAAACTTTGATGTAATTACGTTGGAAGAATGGGAAAATGAGTGTGAGGGGATTGGGGGAGTTAGGCTGTGTAAGAAAATAAAACCAGAATCTTTCACAGTAGAAAAGTCAGTGGACAATATCTGAAGCGGAAAAAATCAAGAAATAGCAGTAAGAACATGTAATTTTGAGGTGTGGAGGTGAGTTCTCTAATAACAACGAAAATATTATCTCTAGGGAGACAGAATTGTGAATGGGGGAAGAAAAACTGCTGTTTTGCCTATTAAGTCTAGCAGTGCTTTTTGGCTTTGTAAGATACTTTACATATTACTTTGATTAAAAAAATAATTTATAATATAACACACAATGATTTATTTTTAGCACAACTATTCCATTTATTAAAGAGCTCTACTTCCTTTTTGATTTTCTGCCTAATTTTGAAACCTCAAGGTTTTTCCTTATCGTCAAAGTTCACAATTCTTCATGTCCTTTTCTGGCCTGCACTCACAGTGAGGATTAAATATAGCCAGGGTGCATTCATCTTTGTCGTTCATGTAAGCACTATGAGGGCTGAAGCATTCATACAAAGACCATCAGGTACCAGGATATGGTCAGTCTGTAGAATTTACTTTTTGTAACCATTGGCTTGAAGAGGGATCAACTGAGAGAGCCATAAAGGTGGTGTTAGGGATGTGATGGGAAGGAACTAGAACCCTTCAAGGTGGTGAAGGGACACTTGAGGTGTGACTTCATCATTGTTTTCAAATATACAAAGAATGGTTTCCAGCAGCTTTGGATCTGCTGAGGGAGAAGAGGAAATGGATTCGTAGCAGAGCCTAAGGAATTTAGGTAGAGACAGATGAATTTCCTAACCTAGCAAGAGTTACCCAGGCCAGTTAAATAATCCTGTTATTTCTAATAAAGAAGATTTCCATTTTCTGTCGAATAGGAAAGAAACATACAACATTCTCAGCCTTCCAAGCCTCATCTTGCAGTTATTTTGTTGTAAGAAATACGGGAAGGGATCTTTGCTGGGACCAGCTTTACGTTGGAGGCCGTTTGTCCCAGGCAGCCCACACCTAGTCCGGGAGCCTCAGCACAAAATTAATTTTCCATAATATGAGAAGAGTTTTTAGTGAGCACGAGGCTGGATCTAACTAGAGCTAAAGCTTGTCTCTAGGACCATGATGTGGCTTGCCTGGCTGTGTGCACTCTGTTGTCTGATGGGACTAGAAATTACAAAACAGTACTTTGTACCATGACCCAGAGCTGTCAGGGGACTTGAATGGATGGGACCATTAAACCCTTTGCCCCACAGCTTAGGTTGATGTGGTATTTTGGGGACCTGGCCTCGTTGTTCCGGGAGCCAGGCAGCATTAGCGCTCAAAGCAGCCACACATCCAAAGGAAGGGAGAAGCTGGGCTTCATCAGGCATACGCTAGAGTTTCCTTACCCTCTAACACTGCCTGTGTCTTCCTTATTGCCACTGCCCACAGAATTGGGGTGCCTGTGGCCCAGTGGGAAGATCTAGAGAGAGGTGAGGAAGGCTGACTGGAGGCCCAGTCCTCACCAGCCTCCTAATACACTCATTGCTGTGTTGCCCCATATGCTCAACACTGCAATGTTGTCCCCCAGGTCAATTCTTAAAATATGAATAAGTCCAGAGGTAAGTATTATGTTTAGCATCCCTGGGTGCGTCAGATCCTCTTCCTGCAGGCAGGTTTGGCTGGTTGTGAGGGAGATAGAGCTGGAGGCACTAGCTCCACACACAGCAGGGGAGAGGTGACAGGATGACGTTACCTTTGAACATGGAAATGAGTCTGAGAGGAGGTGGAGGCCTCAGAGACACACCACTTCATTAGCCATTTTTTTCTGTAGGACTGTTTCTAGTTTTGAGGGCAGGTATTCAGTGACTCCTGGCTCGGTGGGCTGGCTTGGGTTGAAAGGGCCCTCTTTTTAAGTTCCCTCTCTCATCACGTGATAACCCAGCTTCCGGAACCTCTGCATCTTCTTCCAGCCAAGCCTGGCAGAGCCTCGAGCCATTACCAGGATGTGTTACAGACTAGGGAAGCTGAGGCAGTACAGGCACTCCTCTGCCTGAAGTGGTTAACCCCATCACAGTGAAACCTCAGAAAGCTGATGCCTAACCCCAAACTTTAATACCTGGAGGGCTAACCCCAAGGCCCCCATTCACAGTGGCCTATGAATCATGTGTTTCCCTGCCAGATGGAAAGCAGGTGTTGTCCTCTTCTCCCTGCCTCCCCTCTTGAGCACCATAATAAGTTCTAAAGCACATAAATCTCCTCAATGGAAAAGTAAACATTCTTCCTTAAAAAAAAAAAAAAAAAAAAAAATGAGGGAAGGGGGAAAAAAAATGTGTCAGATTTTCCTGGCCTACACTACTCTTCTAGTTTATCAGATCTAAATGAATTCCTATTAGCAATAGCTTCTGTGGTTTTTCCTATTTTAAATGATACTGGGCTGAAACACACATCCCTCTTTTTGTGGGACAACTGGGTTGCAGTTTTTCAGCTCCCAATATTACTTTCATGTTCTCTTTTTCTTCCTGGCTGATTTGAGTAACAGCAAAATGCAGCCATTGCCAACTCTTGAAACATTTCTGGCTGCCTTCCTTTTCCTCTCTCAAATCCTAGGCCACTGTCAAAACCTTAATTCATAGTGACTTATTAGCAACCAGAGCAAGTTGTAGAATAATCCATTATAAAGAAACCAAGCTTCACTTGGAATCTGTGAAGTTGCTTCTCAGAAAGGCCTTATTTTCTAGAACTGGCTTCAGCGGGAATTCAGAGGGTCACCCGTGGGGTGGCATCAGCCCCCACTCCTTTGTTTTATCTTTCTGGTTTGGGGGAGACTGATGGCTGTGCCCATTCTGTTCTTTCTCACTTTTTTTCCCTGCCTGTGAAACTGACTTGTACACATTCTTGGGAGCTGCGTCATGACAAGTCCCGTAAATGATTCACACTGAAGTGGCCTTTAAAGAGCAGAGTAGAAACCAGCAGGATTTGGGGAGCCTAGAGCTGTGCAGGAGCCAAGCACCCAGGGCTCTCTGTCCCCTTCCTGTAAGCGGGAGCTCACTGTTACCTCTCTGGCCGCAGAGCCTGGTCACATGATTTGGTGATGATGTTTAATCACCAGGTGAATGCCGGCAATATTTATGTATAGTCCTGTGTCATTTAAACCTTGAAGACTGTGATACAATTAAACTTCTGAAAGTGAAAATGAGATGAATAGACACCCTAAAGGGTTGGTGGTTGGGCTAGGCATTATAAAGAGGGAAACTTTTTTTAACTCATCGGTTTTTTTTAAAGTTTTTCTGTTTTATTTTGTTTGTAGCATTAAGTGGCACCAAAACGAATTAAATTAATACAAGAAACAATTTAACCGAAGCTACCAAGGAGTAGAAAAAGTTTGCCAAATGCTTATTGCGTCACCACTTTCTAAGTTGTTAGTGCCACAGATGATTGGAACCAGAGAGTTTTTGCTGCTTTATAAAAAGTGTTTTTAAAATGCTGTCCCTTTCCCTATTTGCAGAAGTAAAAATGACCCTCCTGATCGTCCCATCCTTTCGTCTCTCTCCATTCTCTTCTTCTACCATCAAGGAACCGTTGTGAAAGGGTCATTTTTAATCCCTGTGGTGAGGCTTCCAAGAATCATTGTCATGTACATGCAAAACGCGCTGAAAGAACAGGTAAGGCTACCTCCTGATACACAGCACGTTCCGTGTTTGGGTTGCCAGAAACTTAATTACTGGAAAACTACAGCAGGTCCCAGGACAGAAATGTGACCTGTGACAGCAGCCGTGCGGAAAGCTCCTGCACTCCTCGGCTCCCATCCCCCGCCTCTCCCAGCAAACCTTTTATTTTCCCAGAGTCTCTGTTTCGTTTATGGTTTTGTTTATTGGGTTTTCTCCAACTCAGTGGAGATGGTGTGGGGAGGGAGTAGTTCTGAGTTAGCTGATTTTCCTTCTTATGTAAATGGCGAACAGACAGGATGAACCCTTAAGGTGAAATTTAAACAAGGTTTTTGTGAACATTTATCATGCCTTTTTAAGTGAAAAAATGCACCGTAAGATAGGAATAATATGTGTTCATTTCTGTTTTAATGCTGAAATACTGCCTGCCTTTTGTGTTTCCCAGAGCTGTCATGGGAAATTCCCGGTGTGTGTGAGGAGTGAGGAGGGAGAAAAGGAGAGGGTTTGAATGAGTGTGTGTGTGTGTGTGTGTGTGTGTGTACACATGCGTGTGCACACATGCGCTTGAGAGTGAGAAATGGACAAGCTGACCTACATCTAAGCTCAAAGGACAGAAAACTGTAGGGCTTTTGTGCCCGGGGGATTTCTCCTCCCTAGTTTTTATTTCCATGCACATTTGCTTATGAATGCCAGTGGAAACCAGAACACCAGGAAAACAGCTGTTCTCATGGTATTTCTGGCCTGCCAAACAAGGGGAGACAGGACTTTTCCCAACTCTTCTGTTCTCACACAATGTTAATCTCTCCCCCGTCACCACCTCAGAGTTGGTGACTTGGTCAGTTTCACAAACTTACCTGATTCCAACCTTTTGGGTATAGCTATGTGTCCTTAGTAAATTCAGGAAATTTTACCAATAGGTTTACATTATATTTTAGAGTTGTTTTCATTTGCTTTTTAAAAAGATATCTGAATTGTTGATATTTTAAAATCTATAATCAAGGTTTAAAGTTAGTTTATCAATTAGAAGCAATTGATTGGCTAACACATAAAATTATCTGGCTTCCTTATCTGGAAATGCATGCTAAGCAGTTGCCCCTGATTGTAGAACATTTTCTTGTATTTCTATTAATATTTTGCTTGGCCACATTTTGGTGACTTGAAGAGGCATTTCCATATCCAGGACAAAACTAACTACTTTTGGCTCCTGCATTTTGAAGTCAATCCTTCAATCTTAGGAAACTTGCAGGATTTCTTGAAGAACAGGACAGCATTTTATTTTAAGTCTATTTGTGATATGTTTGTGCGTGCATTAGTAATAATCACAAATTAATGAGCAGCGAGGAGCTTGCTGTCCCTCCTAAAGCTAGGCATCTTAAACTCTCTGGGGATACAGCCTTTCATAAATCTAAAAGAGAAGTCAGTGGAAGGCCCAAGGTCTCTCTGACTGTGGTCTAAAAGGTTATTTATCACTTCCCAGATTCCACAAGGACCAAGGGCCAGAATTGCTTTTAGTGATGTCACTATTGGGAAAATGTGTCCTTTCTTAGGTTAAAAAACAATTTCTTCCTCAGCAGCCTTACTGGCCAGCACTGTGTCTACAATTTAAATGTTTCACACAGCCACCGTGTGATTTTCCCTAGTTCAATAGGCTCATTCACCAACACAGCCAGGCTGAAAAGTGTCCAGATCAAGTTTCATCCAATTGAATTCACATTGGGATGAGAAAATGGCCATATAAGGCTGAGTTATTCCTGGGGTCCTCATCCTAGGCTATTTCAGGATTGTTTCCAGGGATGTGTTCACTCTGGGGAGTGGGTAGGGTGCCGCCAAGCACCCCTCCCCCAAGAGGTTCATGAAAGTATTCATTCTTGAGCTATGCACAAGTTCAAGTTATATTTCAAAGGAGTAATTTATCCCTCGAACTTTAGTCCCCCCAAAAAACTCTCACTACAGCATTTATGTCCTCCAAAGTTAAACTTGATTCTTTATTTATGTGGGCACATAACTAGTATCTACAGTGTATTATTTGTTTTTTTGTTTCTGGGATGTGAATTTTTCATGAATATAAACTTTGGTTTGAAAAAGCCAAGTGTACCATTTCAGACACTTAAGGGCAGATGAAGGGGGAAGAGAGGTTTTTTTTTAACTGGAACCAGAAGACCTGCTTTTCTTTTGCTGTTCAGTATGGACTAACCTCCCTAATAGCACCGCTAACATATAAGTCCACAAGACAGAAACGTTTCTCCTCAATAATACTAGAACCATAATTAGTAGTAGTAGTAGTAGTAGTATGCACAAAATAAGAACTTCTCCCACGCCACCAGTGTTTCCCTAGGTGCATAAGTGAAAACTGTGTTTCCTCAGAAACTGCCTCCTTGTCTTCTTTCCTGTGTTGTTTTTGACTCTGTTCCTTTGGTCTCAACCTGATCCAGCAGCATGGTGCATTGTCGAGGTACCTGTTCCGATGCTGCTACAGCTGTTTCTGGTGTCTTGACAAATACCTGCTCCATCTCAACCAGGTACGTCTCCTACCTCTTGCCTCAGGAACACACAGAAGGGTCCAAAGGTGGCCTCCATCTCTTAGGTCAAGGTTTGGCAAATTCTTCTCTAAGGGGCCAAAGTGTGTAAACATTTTAGGCTTTCAGACCAGTCTCTCTGTCACAACCACTCAATTCTGCCATCATGGCAGGAAAGCAGCCATAGGTAAAATGTCAATGAATGGGTATGGCTATGTTCTAGTAAACCTTAACTTATCAACAGTGACATTTGAATTTCATATGATTTTTACATGTCAAGAAATATTCTTTTTTTGATTTTGATTTTTTCCCAACCATTGTAAAATTGTAAAAATTGTTCTTAGCTCCTGTAGAGGAAAGCGGGCAGTGTGATGGAGCTGGCTCCTGGGCTGTAGTTTGCAGACCCTACCCTAGAACCATAGGCCATTAAAACCACGCTTCAAATTTTAAAAGAAAGTTTTTCTCTTTTCAGAAATAAAGAGGAGAGGGAGTATTTAGAAACCCTAGCATAATGAATGTATATCAACTAAGAGCTGATTTTCAGTGCCTTCTCTAAGAACTATAATTTTCCTGAACTAGGAAAAGAATTGCCTCCCTAATTTTCATAGATTTCACCAGTCTTCCCTTTTCAAGCTATAAATATGCCTTTAAACTTATAAAAATTATATCTTGCAATTGTTTGGATTTTGGATTTTTTTCCTCTCCTGAATTTTTCAAATTAATGGAAATTTAAATACGTTGTGTTTCTCTTTAGAGCATTTAGGAGATTTTAATAGTCCTTAGTCAAATTTACACAAAGCAGTATTTTTGTAAGTTAGCAGGCTGTTTTATAATTTGAACATTCACAGAAATCTCACTTAGAAAAGTACTTCTTATAATTGCCCCCTCCCTAAGAAATTTACCTTTAGAAGTAAAGGGACTAATTAGACCATCTATGTTTAATGTCTTACAAGTGGTATTTATAATACTTTTCATTATTCAGGGAAAAATGTAGCCTTCTTATAGTAAGGTCTATTTTAGGCTCTTAATAATCTTGGAGAACATTTTAGAGTATATTTAGTTTTCATTTGGATTACTATAAACCAGCATGTGTAAAACACAATCAAATACCATAGGACCTTTCGGAATGGGGGGTATATGTAACAAGTGAGTCCAAACCCTTTGAATACATTTGTCATGGTGTTAGATGTTATAGCTGTTGTATATGTATCCAGACACCAACTTCATAAATATTTTGAGATGCATTGCAAAAATGTATTAACTATGATAAAATATATATGCATGAAAAATAAAGGTTAAGAAACATATAAATAGACTAGAAAGATAAAAGCAATGAATGAGACCATTGATATACAAATATGTTGGCCATATGGCCATACGAGGCCCCGGGGTTGACCTGTCATTCCCTCTCACTGTATTACGGGAATTCAGGTACTTTCTGCATCCCTCTTTCACTCATGGTTTTCATCCTGGCCCCTGGAAGCCTAGAGGCTCCTGTGGACACTGTGGGGACCACCACGTTAGGAGGGCAGAGAAATGGGTAAGGTGGAGGAAGGGTGGACCCTGGCCCCATACCATGCCTATACTGCCCGGCCTTGCAGTCAGAGCAACTCCGCTTTATGTGGTTAGGGGTGGGAGTGTGGGAGTGTACTGAAGGTTTCATTTGAGGACAGGTCTCTGCTGCTAAAACACATTTGAAAACCTCTGGTCCCATTTTCACATTTGTTTTCTCTGCCCTGTTATCCTGAGGTACGTATTTTCCTCCCTTCTGAAATTTCACCACCTTAATTAATCCAGGACCATTTCCCTTGGTAATTCAAATGTTTCCAAACTCATAAGTGACACTAATGTTAACCAAACCATAATGACCATCCTAAAGGTGATGACTCCATATAACAGATGTGTCGATGGGAATAATGATCCCCGATTCACAGAAAAACTAAGCCAGCCTTGATCCAGCTTGTGTAGTGAGTCAGTGGTGCAAACAGGGATAGGTCTTCCAGATTCTAATCATGGTGCCTGTGCAGTAGGCTGTGGCTAAACCAGCTTCATAGTGTCTTTTCCTTGCGGTGACTCCTGTAGAACTGGGTGGTGCCAGTTGATGTGGGTGATGCTCAGAGGCCTAAGGTTCAGGAGATTGGGAAGAGGAGGAAGAATGAAAAAACAAGAACTGGTGTGAATATTAATGGAGAAGGAAGGGTCACCTCTGGTCTACGTCGACTACTGGAAAGCAGAGTGAAATAAAAATGTTTAAGAATAAAGATGATTGTAAATGGTAATCAGAGCAACTGTCAGCCTCATTTGGCAGTGGACAAAGGAAAGTGAGCATAAAGTGAGAAAAGGAATTTAGATTCACCTTTTCAGAAATTTCCTTGCATTGGAATGACTTACTAGGGGACATTGTGGCATCTCTGTCTCTGGAAATCAGATTTTAAAAGGCTGAACCCTATTTTATGTTCCTCATTTTGTGGAATAGGAGCTGGGAAATACTAAAAGAGAATGAGATCCATTTGTTACCATCAAAACTCAGATGCTCGTCTTTATTTAACATCAAGGAGCTGGTTGGGTTTTCCCACTGCTTCTTAAAAGCCTAATCCATCTTCACTAAATCCTAGTAGGGAGACAGGTGGCAGTTGCTGCATTTTGCAAACACCCAGCCTAAGGCTGCACAGGCATTCACTTGCAAGGTGGGGAATGAAACTCTCAATCTCATAATTTCTCATTTACTTTTCTCCCTACATCATAAATACTGAGTGTGTACATACTGAAAAAAATTACATGTTCACCTCACACATGTGTTCATCCAGCAACCATGTGTTTATCCTGTATGCAGACTATTTCTACCTGGGTATAATGAGGACAAGGACCATGGCGATATAGAGGTGATACAGAGTCATTACTGTATGATGCAAAAGCCAGGCCTCCAAGAAATTGACAAGCTAGCTGTCGGGCGACAGGGGCCAGTAAGGGGCATATGCATGAGACATATGACTGTACAGAAAAGCGCATGTTTAAGCATTGGGATAGGGCTGTGGAAGTTCAGAAAAGGAAAATCTTGGTCTTTGGGAGAGGTCATTTGACTCTGTAATTAGGGGAAATTTCCTAGGAGAAGTGGACCTGAGTATAGAGTACCCACTGGAGATCACCAGCTACTAACGACAGCAGTAACAGCTGTGGGTATTGGCAATCAACTGTTTTGCCAGTGGTATGCTGAGCACTTTTCCTGCATTATATCAGTTGTTAGGTTTTTTGTTTTTGTTTTGTTTTTTTTGAGATGGATTTTTGCTCCTATCGCCCAGGCTGGAGTGCAGTGGCACAATCTTGGCTCACTGCACCCTCTGCCTCCCGGGTTCAAGTGATTCTCCTGCCTTATCCTCTGGAGTAGCTGGGACCACATGACACCACGTGCTAAGTTTTTGCATTTTTAGTAGAAACGGGGTTTCACCATGTTGGCCAGGCTGGTCTCGAACTCCTGACCTCAGGCGATTTACCTGCCTCGGCCTCCCAAACTGCTGGGATTACAGGCATGAGCCACCATTTGTGGCCAGTTGTTAGTTTCTGAGATAGTGTCTTCAATTTACAGATAGGGAGATTGAGGCTTAGAGAAGGCACATAGTGGCAGATCTAGGATTTGAATCCAAGTCTGTTTTGCCTCCAGGCCCAAGCCCTTAACCACTGTGCATTTTTAAAATAGCCGGAGGAGGACTCATGACCACCACCTGGGGATGTTCTTTTCTGCTCCTTGCAAAGCCAGAGTCCGTACAAGTAGAGCTGGCAAAGCGCGTCTTGTTACACAGCAGACTTTTGTGGAGGAGGACAGGAAAGGTGAAGGAGCAATGAAGATGATGAACTCACCATAACTGTAATCAAGCAGTTATCCATCCAGAAAAGGCTGGTCAGGGTGGCCTGGCCCCTCCTCCTTTCGTCAGGCAAGTTAGTGGTCAAAGTGTCTGGGAGTCTTGGCTGGCTGTTCTCAGAGACTTTCAGGCAAAAGGGCCTTACAGCCTCCCCTCTCCCTCCCAGCACTGTCCAGGGGCCTGGCTAAGAACCCCGCTGTGAGACTACAGGCTAAGCCCTCAGCAAGAATGGCGTACTTACTGTTTCTTATGGGGTCTGCACACAGTTCCTCATGAAAATGTCTCCCTAAGTGCACATCTCTTGTCCATTGTGGACACAGGCATCTGTCCCAGCCATGATGTTGGCTTTAGGTCAATGTTCCTCTAAGTATGAAACCCAGCGGTGAGCCCCAGGACTCTTCCTGATGGTTCCAAACTGATCTGAACATTCTAGAAAATCCTTTTTTCAATTTTTATAGGCAAATAGCAGAATTCCATAGATTTTTCATTTTTGCATACAACAGGGAGTTGTTTGCCCGTCAATAAAGTAGAGCATGTGTTATTAAAGTTTACTAAAATGTGTTCTTTATGAACCCAAATTGGTGTCTTAACGTAGTTTCTTAAGGACTCAGACTCATTCTTTTCAGACATCTAGCCGCTGAGGCAATGCCTGGTGACCCTGCAAAATTTGTGAATGTACGCACGCAGACAGTGGGATTTGCAAATTGGGAAAAGAACACTTTGCTACCACTAGTGTTGCCTTGAGTTGACCATGTTGTTCAGTTGCAGTCATTCTTGTCTTGACATTTTACTTCTCTTGATTATTCAGTTCTTGGTTGGTTGGTTGGTTATTTATTTATTTATTTATTTATTTATTTATTTATTTATTTATTTATTTTTGAGACAGAGTTTCGCTCTTGTTGCCCAGGCTGTAGTGCAATGGCGTGAGCTCGGCTCACCGCAACCTCTGCCTCCCGGGTTTAAGTGATTCTCCTGCCTCAGCCTCCCAAGTAGCTGGGATTACAGGCATGCCCCACCATGCCTGGCTAATTTTGTATTTTTAGTAGAGACAGGGTTTCTCCATGTTGGCTATGTTGGTCTTGAACTCCTGACCTCAGGTGATCCACCTGCCTCGGCCTCCCAAAGTGCTGAGATTACAGGTATAAG